CCAAAACCCCAAAACCCCAAAACCCCAAAACCCCAAAACCCCAAAACCCCAACATTCAAACATTTCCATAAGATTGGGATAAATTCTAAAACTATTATTTACAAGAATATTATAGTTATTACATTAAGATATACTATTAAACATTTAGATTGAGTGAATATTGCTAAGAGCACAGACTATGAAGAAAACCACTTTTCACTCATTTTAATCAAAAATATCCTCATTTTCATCTATACTAATCAAAGATGAAGGCATGAGAATAGGCTGAAAGCACTTTGGAAATATCTTCCTTAGTTTTTCTATGTTGCTTAGTAACTCTGGCTTGCTGGTGTCAACTTCTTATAGCTGAACCGTAGACCTCGAAGAAGCCTGTGCAGAAGATAACTTATTGTCAGAATTCTTAGACTTTGCCTTTGAATAGAATTGAATAGGAAAGCGAAGTTTATTTTGCTTTTTACCACTAAATACCTAATAGGTTTCAATTATCACTTCAACATAGAAACTTGATTTAATGAAGTTGCCATTACAAGTGGCAATGTTAAAGCATTGTATAGTTTAAGCTATTTAATTGCCCTAAACCAAAATCTGACCGGGCCTCTTTGGAGCTTCCTGACCATTTATGATCACTTTTTTCTATTAAGCTCTAAATAATGCTCCTTCGTTTTTCAGCAGAATCTCTCTGTCAATCTAAGATTTAATAAAGTGCTCTTGCTTTGTCTTTTCTATGACTTCCCTATATTTTTCCATGTTAAATTTGATAATTTCGTTTTATCGAAACGGTCTAATTAGTTTCTCTGTTTTTATCTCCTATTGAATTTTTTCAATCGTTTTAGTTTCATAATTCATGCCAATACTTCTATACTTGTGATTCCTCCACTTATTCTCATATGCCATTTGCTATCCATTTTAATCTTAACTTGAGTGGATTTATACCTCTACAAATAGAGTTGCCTTAATCCCTGTTATAGTATTGAATTATTAGCCAAGATCAATCTCTATTTCAATCGAATCATAAGGCTCGAATATTTGTCTGTTAACTCTCACCTCTGCGTTTATTGGCTTGCCTGAACAGAATAAACACATTTTACTGTTAATAAGAAGTTGTTGAACCAGTCCTGACCCAGAACTACCAAGCAACATAGGCTATCTCTCTTCTACAATTCCTATTTTCCTTGATTTTTTGCTTTGATTCCTAGGTACCTTAGGATAGACTATTTCTACGACTGCATCACTACCAATTTGTTTGTTATGCAATAATCCCTTCTAAAGATTAAGATCATGATCTATAATGTTTAGTTTAGGGTTTATTATTGTTAGTAATGGTTCTCCTTAGACTATGTTAATTTCCTTAGAAAATATCAAGAGTGGTTCTATATCCTCAAAGAATACTGTGACTGAATATTTCACTTAAAAATTTTCCCCATTAGCGTTGATAAATTAGAAGGTTGAGGGCAGATCCTTAGCAGGTATTTAAAATTAAAAAGGAAATTCGTACTGTCCAATCGGAATCTTGCCGCCTCTAAAGGTAAACATTCTGCTTTCCTCCTTAAACCAGCACATTATTTCCTGATCGTCAGGACTCCTATTTTAATCTTCGATAAAACTCGCCATTTTGAATGGCCCATCTTAGTTGCTTGTTATTTCATAATTTTTGCTGAATTAACTTAGCCTTTTTACAGACTTTTCATGATTCTAATTTCCTTCTATTGCTGATTAATATTTAGGGACACTGCTTTAGCTAATGTTTAGACTACCCGTTCTCCCAAAGTCCTAATTGCCGCCTCTGGGTCTCACAGCTGGAAGATCAGGAGTTTATCTTCCTAATTATTTAAGCTCAGGAATCTCTAATCTTTTTTTAAGCTAACTTTAGTTATTGAATTTATCTGCGCTTGTTTTACTAGATCCTCTAGCATTTGCCCTTAAATCAGAACCTTATCGCTCTCCTATATCAACATCTTCTTCTGCCTCGAATATCTTATTGTAGACGCGTTTGGACACTATCTCAAAGCCCTCAATTCTTATCATTAATTTGGTTTGGAGACTGATATTAAATAGTTCGAAGAAAACTGAGCCATGAACTGTATCTCCTGGCATATAAAAGTCTCGGTCTAACTCAATCATCATATACCCCTGGTTGGCTTAGACCATGGGCTTCACCTCGTCAACAAATGTCTGAAACTCTATCTCATCCTTATAAGAAGGCATGAGGAGTTGAACATTCTGCTTCAGCTGCTAGTTGACATGACTCGCTAGTAACTCGGAGTCTAGCACACTTGACATTTCAAACCTATGATGAGGATGCATTTTGAATAATTTATTTGTAATTATCTCAATAATAAAAGTTATTGCATCAACCCTCTCATTGATATTATTTATTTTTTTGCATAATTCGATTCTATTGGTATAATATAAATATGCAGCAATTAACTCTTATCTTATTAGCTCGGGGTTTTGGGGTTTTGGGG